GTCTAACGTGATAATTTAAACAAAGTGAAACACGAACCAAATAAGCCCAAAATACTCACAGGAAAGATCTCTCTTAACCGTGTTCTTTTTCCGCCTGATGGGGAATTCGTCAATCTTCAGCTCGCCTTCATCTGAGACGTACTCATACTCGTCTATCACTGGCTTGGTTTTGTCCTCTTTTAGGTTTTGTAATGATCCAAAAACACTTGAGTTGGTCTGAGGTTTCAGGGTCTTGGAGCTGAAAATGAAACCGCAGGACAATAAGCGAGCGATACGAGGCTCAGCCAGGCGCTCGCAGCGAGAAGTCCTTGAATTAGCTCTAATGGATATGCTGCTGATAGCCACATGGCTCTACAATCACCAAAACACACCACATGAGAAAGCTGGCGTGCTCGTCTCTTCAAAGACCTGAAGTCGAACACTTACGTGGCGATCGCAGCCGTTCCATACATACCTCAGCAGTTTCCTGTGAGACATAGTAAAGCTGAATCTGTCTTTATTGCTTGACAGCAGTGTTCTGTCAAACTTGCATTCCTCCTCCATCTTCAGCAGGGAATCGGGTTTACTATTCTGCAACAGTCCAAGGAAAATAATGTCAGAGAAGCTAAAAGTAATCAGCGTTATGTTAAAGAACAGAGAGGATGACAGATATCTTGGTGTCACTATTTCTGGTTCGCTGCATTAATGAGAACACTTCATGCCAATTTAAACCGACTCTGTACTTTTATTTCAAAGGAAAGATTAATTGCATATAGCTACGTTCCCTCAGTTCTGCAGAGGATCTGAGCCTCTCTTAGCTCACTGTTTTGATTCTAGCTGAAGTTTAAAGTCTGTCTCATGCCTTCATTTTTACACTTTAATGTAAATGTAGCTAACTGGAACTTAAAAAAGTAATCGTATAAATGAAGAAATGATCTAAAACTTGGCACATAAAGATTCTCGGTCCTTGTGTACTTTAGGAAACCTGTTAAACAATCAGAATTTAAAAAAAGACGCTGTCATTAACGGTTTCATCAACTCTTAAAATAAACCTTGCTGTTAAAAGAGTGAGTACCTCATGATGTTAAACCCAACAGGTCAAATTTTCTGACCCAATTTTCACTAAACCAAATCCACAAAGAGGAATGCAGAACGACTGCCATGAAAGTCCCCGCTGATCACGCTGTAATTAACTGAAACCCAAGAACATCCATTTTCACATTTTCAAATATTCACTCCTCAGCTGTTTTTGTTTCCTACGCGCTATAATCTGAAGCAGAAATTTCACACTGCCGCGCGACACCGATGAGCTTTCTAGACCTAACAGAGAAGCTGCGAGCCGCTTCACAAACGAACAGCGATCGCAAATGAAGATGTGGTCGTCGGTGACCTTGGTAAAGGTCTAACGGGGTCTCTTCCCCATCTGTAAATGTTTGGCCTGATGTGAACGAGCAGCAGGTCCTTGGAGGGGTTTAATACATTCCACAGCAGTTTGGCATTTTATTTTCCAAGAAACTAAAGCCCTCTAATGTCTTCAGTTCACCAAAATTACACTTTCTTTTTCTCCCCGCTAAAAACTTCCTCCTGTTGTTCTACAATAACGACACAACACGCTTTAAAAGGAGATGGGGGCATATGTAAATACTTAGATGGAATGCACTGGATATGGACATGGCGTAATTCCATTAGGTAAACTCTGGGAGGGCGGACGTTTCTGGAGAAGCCCTGATGAGGTGCAGGCCTCAAATGTGCGACTTGGGCCGCATCATTACTTTGGCTGATTGCTTTGAAGTGAAGTGTTCAAATCCTTGTTGGATGGTCCTGCATTTTTTCTGTTCAGCTGCTCAACTTGTAACCTTCAGAGCTTATTGCCTAAAGAATTTCAAACGCATTGGCTGTTGCAGGCCAAGGCAAAAGTCTTCACCGCCATTCGTTTAAAATAACAGCTCCGGTAAACTTACCTTGTACTTCCATTTCGCTTCAGTCTTGTTTTTATTCTGCTCTCTGATATCAAACTTTTCCACATTGTTCTGCTTTGACATTTCCTTCTCAGACATGCTCAGGACATTCTTAACAGCCTGGAAAATCAAAGCAATTACAGAGAAACATAACAGAACAATCAATCGATGAAACTGTTCTGCAAAGGCAGAAAGAGTTTAACTGAACTGTGTATCACATGTCTAATCTATAAAATCTTAATTCAATGCTTATACATGCAATCATTTTCACAGATGTTATGTTACACCTCTGCAGTTAAAAACCGATGACCTGGTATATGACCGAGCGACGGCCACCCTTACGTAGACATAGACGTACTTCTTTGATTACAAAAAGCCTGTTTAACATGTGCACCAGTTAATGCATACTAGCAGGGAAAGCTGTGCAGCCAGTTATATATGCTAACACTTTACAGCTGCCTGCAGGCAGCAGCTGAACATTTCATAGCATAATCAGATACAGAACGGTTGACCTACAGTGAAACTAGAAACCATCATTTCTATAAAAAAAGTGCCAACATAACTAAATGCTCACCTTGGGCTTTTTTGGCTGGTCCATTTTACTCAAAATGTCCTTTGCATGGGACTCCAGCGCAGCAAAACTGGAGGGTTTAGGAGGTGGTGATGACTCCTTTGCTGACTTTGCTTTCTTCTTTCCTCCTTCCTTGACCTTTGGCACCTTTGAAGGCTTGGGCGTCTTTGAAGGTTTGGGAGGCTTGGGGGGTTTAGGGGGTTTAGGGGGTTTTGAGCTTTTCTTTCTGGACTTCTCTCTGCTGGGTGAGGGGACATGTGCTGGAGAAACGGCTTCTTCAGGCTCGGACTGGGTGGACAACGGTTCCTCAACTGGTACCTTAATTGGAGCTTCGCTTTTAATGGCTTTTGTTGTGTTCTGTAAAAGAAATCAAGGTCAACTTTTGACTTTGTAACCTGCCGTTAAACCTTCTGTGAGTTCATTAAACCTAAATTAGGATTTTGTTTTTATTATTTAACTTTATCACTGGTGTGATCATTTACAACACCTCAGAATGTAGTCACCTGGTACTGAACTTTATTTTCTACACCTGTCACAGGGCTAAAACATCGACACAGACACACCTATGGGCAATTTAGAGCTACCAGTTAACCCAACCCCACTAACTGCATGTCTTTGCATGACAAACTTCACACAGAAAGACACCGGCCTGATGGTGGAATTGAACTCAGAACCTTCTTGCTGTGAGGCAACAGTCCTAACCACGATGCTGCCCAAAGCTTACAGCACCTGGGATTCGCAGGCGGTCCAGGTCCTCAGGAAGTGTCATTTGATCAAATTTAAAGTCTATATGTAATGTTCTAATTCATTTCAAAGTTTTATTATTCAGATACTGGATCTACAGATGTGATAAATAGATATCTATAGATATGATGTGTTGCTGACATAGGGATGTTTCATATTCCAACATGTTTTTAAATGACAATAATTCCATGTTCCTCAATATTTTACTAGATATTAAGAGCAGGTCGTTTGCAGTGTTGTGCTCTGGTTTTCAGTGATGAACTATGTTGGATTGATGCAGGGCAGACTGTGATATCCTTGGTCACTGGTGGGTTTTGTCCCGGTAAAATCTGAGACACTGTGAGATAAAGATATGACCCTCAAGTCTAAACTGAAACTTATGAGATAATTCTAGATAGAACGAAAGTTTTATGAATACCAGAGGAGAAACTTTTAAAATCCCATCTGTGTGAAGAGTCAGCAAACTCTCTGAATATTCGATGCATAAAGTTTTTGTGTCCTGCTGACCTTTAAAATGAAAGCTAATTTAAATAATGCTTCAAGGTAAATGCAAACATTAGTGTTCAGATGCTTTTTAATATGGCTGCTAAGTAGGAGGACTCGCTTGTAGAAGATGTCATTGATTTAAGTGTATCATGTTCTTTAGTAAAAACTGCAGAATTCCAGCTTTATACTGTCAAGAAGTTACAAAGCACCCGTAATGGCAAAACGTAACATGAGCTTATATATATGTATAGGAGGATGTAGTTGTCTCTGCTACACCTGAACCTAGGGACCCCCACCTGGCAAATCCTACTTTAACCACTGGGCTAAATGTATGCTCAACTAAGACATCCAAACAAAACATAAAAACACATTCTTTCTATTCACCATTTGGTTGCAAACACAATGCCACTGTGTGTTGCAAGCTAATCTTTTAGTAACAAGTTATCTGAACAACAGCTATTCATAGCACTAACATGGTATTTAATGCTAGATAAGCTAGCTAAATGTTAGCTGTCAGCGAAATGTTAGCTGTCAGCGAAATGTTACCTGTCAGCTAAATGTTAGCTAACATTTAGCTATCAGCTAAATTTAGCTATCAGCTAAATGTAAGCTAACATTTACTGGAAATTAATTACCAGTAGCAAGAACTAACTTAAGGGTTGTTTACTGTCATGCAGCATTTCTGAGACGCAAAGCAAGGCAGATATTGTGGTGGCAGATAATGTTAGCTAACATTTAGCTATCAGCTAAATGTTAGCCTAAGTGGAAAGGGTTAATTTAGCTATCAGCTAAATGTTAGCTGTCGGCTAAATGTTAGCTGCTAAGATTTGGTTTGCTTTTAGTTGCTACCACATCTAACAAAAGAATAACTTTTTGCCAAAAGAAAGTTCCAATTTTAAAAGTAAAGAAAAATTTAGTAAAGTATTTTTTTCATTTTTTCATTCATTGAGATTAGCGGAAAGACGAGGGCTTCATAATCTGCAGAACATCAGCCTTCTTTGATGGCAATAAAATGTTCATTTTTTCTGCAAATCTGACATTTGAGAGTTTATGGGGAGGCTTAAGTGGAAAGGGTTAATTTGCAAAAACCAAATATGAATATTAAGCTTTTTGATTAGCAAAAATAAGGCATCGTCCTCTAGATTTTTGACAAACCTGGTCAATAAATATTAATGCTATATGGCATAATATGAAACATTAATTTCTCCTGGAGCCAAAAAACTATGAAATTACCACCTAGAAATAAAAATACCTCTGACAATCTGATCTCTTTGGCAAGATCCTTAATGAGTTGTGATGGCTTCATGTTCTCTGGAAGCTCATCTTCATGTTCCAGGAGAGCCTGTTACAAAAAACAAAACAAATACAGAAAAAGTTTCTAAGAAAATAGACAGATACATGACACTAGATACACTCTATTTTGTATTTAGTTGCCTCCAAACCTGCTTTTTAGTCCAGGCTCTAAAGGCTCCATTGATGATTTTGGCACCGTGTATCAGGTATGGAGCTGGCTGCTTATTCGCTTTATGTAAACCTACAGAGCAAAGAATGCAAATTTTATCACTGAGTGAATTGTGGCCTTTGAACTGTGAGCAGCTGGAGCTACTGCAGTTAAAAAGAGCACGACGGACAGAGATTTACAGGATCTAACTGAAATAAGCCTTTTGATAAACAGGAGAACAGCTGAGAGAAGATAAAGCTACTGCACTCCTCAGTGTACAGAAGAGGGACTCATCAACAGGGCGACTTTGTGTTTAGACAACACTGTCCTGTTACCTTAATTCAGACGCGCAGCTCAACCCCAACACAGCCAAGCGGCATGTTAAAGCTCTTAAGGTGCAAGCCACCATCATCTTGCTGCTTTACTCTGGATATTATCCTCTACTAGAAGCTTTTCATGACTCACAATCCCTATTTATCTCACGCTGAGCCTAGCGCAGCTCTGTGTGAAACAAGCCTCTCCCTTTAAGGCCACCGTTTCTGTAAACCAGCTTTCCTGTGACTGGCTGCCCCTCACAAACAAAGGACTAGTGGGTGGGGCTTCTGAGATTACCATATTGGGGTGTACTTCCTATCTTTGAGGAGAGCAGAAAATCACTGCCTGAGAGAGCCGTCTGAAGGATTACATGCAAATACACTGAACTCATTATTTGAAGCCACGTTCAATATGTGTGTCCACGACTGAACCGTATACTACATATGACAGAAAATAAGGAAAAGCACAATAGGTGGCTTTTCAAAAGAATAATGGCATATTAATGACAGAGCTTTATAGTTTGGAGGTGGCGTGCACCACACAAAATCACAATCTGGTTTTAACACATGAACATACACAGAAAATGCTGGAAACATAAACAGTTGGGCCACGCCAGCTGAAGGGAGTTTAAACACAGGCTTGTAATGGAGCAAGTGATTCTAGCCGGGCCAAACCTTTTGAAGCTAATCATCTGTGAACTCTGCGATTCACCGATTTAATGACTGAAATAATATTAGAGCATCCAGCTCCTCATCTGCGCTGCAGACATGCAGCCACATGCCGAATGTGCAGCCCAGAAAAAAAGATGCATTTCTGACAGTGTTTGTGTTTTCTCCGCGTTCACGCATTCCTCTGGAGAAATATCGAGTGAAACGAGGATGAGTGTTGACATTAGAGCACCACACACCGGGGCAAAGCCGGAGTCTGTAACTACACCGACGCGATTTGAGACTTCACCTTTGAATCGTTCGAGGAGGTGTCGCCCCACATACCAGCACGCCGTCTCAAAGTTGGGGAAAGGAGTGAGAGTTTTGACCTTTAGCCGTTTTTCAATTTCATATGCCCTGAGGAAGATAAAAAAAAAGTTTCAGCTGAACATCATCACGGATTACTAACAAAGGATGGAATTCACAAAGTACTTCCAAAGAGGGAGAATTCATAAACAGATTTGGTGGAATTTCAAACAGGAAAGAATCGGAAACTACTGAATAATATCAACCGAGGCCTTTAAGGTCACACTAGATCACCACAGGAATGTCTGCAGGAGGCACGGTGGTGATCACATTATAACCCAGTGCACTAAAAACAAGCGTAAAGAATGAATGTGTGTGAAAAGGAAGGTGCCCAAACCTCATCTGCATCTCCACACTGAGGTTGTGGACAAAGTGTCCAGAAAACGCCAGACAGTCGACAGGTGTCAGTATTGCATTGATCCAACCTGAAGGAACCAGATGAGGCAAGATAATCATCCAGTATTTACAAGAATAACATCAGTGCAGCATTCTGGATGCAAACAACAACATTCTTGCATTTTTATTGTTAAGGAACTATTACCTATATACTGGTGCTGTCAGCGCTAATCTCGCTAAAATGACGTTAATGCCATAACCGCATTAATGCAGCAAATCTCTGTTAGTGAGTTAACGCAGATCGCCCTGTGGGAGGGGCTGCATGGTGCTAACGTGCTAACGGCGCTGATGCATTGATGCCGTGCAGCCCCTCGCACGGGGCGAGCCACGTTAACTTGCTAACAGAGATTGACCGCGTTAATGCATCTATGGCGTTAACGTCATTTTACCGAGATTAACGCTGACAGCACCAGTATATGCATGTTTTATGACTAGCCACATGGCGATCTGTCCTCGCCGGTTTTAAGACAAGATAAGCGTAAAATATGAGAGTCCAATTTTAGGCTACGTGGCAAAAATATCAGTCACTGCAGTTCAGTATCAGATCAGACCAAGTAACAACAAGTCCTAAACAACGTGAAAAGGAGAAGCTGCTGAAAGTGGACTGCAAAGCGGCTTGCAGTTTACTTTGGGAAGTGCAGCTTCTGAGAAATGTAACTACACGTCGGGGCTGACACAGTCTGCAGCTACTGTGGTCGGCCTGTTCTGGACCACTGATTCCTCTTGTGCATTTCCAAATACTTCTTTTTGAATTCATCAGTGAGAGAACAACAATAATCGCTTCAGTATAAAGAACAATAATCACAGCATCGATACAAGAATCACAACTGTCAGCAGATTCCTAGAGGGAAAATAGATGTGAGGGAACGTACAAAGAGCTGAAAAACCTGAGGGACAATTATATTTGCTTCTGGGGAAAAACAAAAAACCCGAAGATACAGGCTCTACAAAGATTCTCTGCACAAGTGTAAATCAGGCCAACGTCATACATGATGCACCAGCTGAAGATAACAGCTGAGCTATGAGTAAAAAGGGGCTCATACTGACTTTCTTATTAGCTGTTACTCAGCACTTAGCTAAGTTAGCTTCTTTTCCCACATGTTTGCACTGATTAGGAGATGCTCTGTATCTCATTTTACATCTGTATAGTGACAATAAAGGCATTCTATTCTATTCTATTCTATTCTATTCTAGCTGCTGCTCAGGAAGAAGAGCAGGTCGTCAGCAGATCAGAAGGTCGGTTGCTTGACGCTCAGCTACACCTCAAACTACCATTGGGAAAGAAAAAAAACTGGCAGGCATGTCCGCATTGGCCTTCGTGCTAACCGTCTGATGATAAAATTTACATCACTGAGACCAAAGTGGACTCACGGACACGGGAAGTGTGATTCCTGCTTGTGATTGAGTCAACAAGGCTTCTGTCTGTCCCATTCATTCATGAGAACAGGAAAAGAGCGAAACATGTTCAGCTAGATTCATGAGAGGAGACCAGCTCTGACCTGATGGGATGAACAGGGACTGGCCTTGCTTCAATGTGCATTTGTAACACTTGTCCACCTGGTCAGCAAAGAACATTTCGCTGTGATTGGACGACGACCTCCAGCGCTCGTACAGAGACAGGTTGGCCGAGGTGGGCTTAATGAGGAAGAAGATCTTTTCTCCCTGCAAACATAATCACATTTTCCAGCGTCATCGCCATCATATGAGCAAAGGAGTGAAATAAATTCCTGTCAAAGACTCAGAATCAGTGCCGAATATATTTTGACTTCCCATCATCCCGACACACTTCTCTAACCTTGAGAACGTGGTACCAGACAGAGGCGCCACCGCACTCGATGTGGAAGTCTGTGTAGCTGTCTTTGACACAGATTAGACAGTATTTGGTGACTTTTGGCTTCCCGAGCAGAGCGTCATCGGGCCAGTAGTTTTCTACCCAAGATAACCGCCGCACAATCTGTGGACTCTCCACTATGCTGCTCATCCTGTCCCAGACAAACAGAAAAAGAAATTAGCACTGTGAGTTTTCCATGCAGCCGGCATCTTTAGAAGCCAGATCTCATTTTTCAAACATTGCCTTCGGGCAGAGAGCTAGTACCTCGTGTCAGAGAACTCCAGGTTGATGATGTTTAATACTTTCTTTCTGTTTGTGCTGTAGTAATAGTCGACAAACTCTTTGAGCTTCATCTTGCTGTCTGTCTGCTTCGTGACATCCACCACATCCACGCTGACGTCGGGACCTGAGACAAAGGCCGG